ATATTCGGGTCTACAAACTAAACTATACATACATCAAATTAGTCAGTGCTGGAAAGTGTGTGGTAGGTAATGAAAGGCATATTATTTAATTTACATTTGAATAGGAGGGTATAATGGATAGGGAAAAAATAAGCCTAGCAACAACCCTTCTACTATGTTATTAAAGGTGAAGGTTACTCTCCAAACAGGAAGCATCGGATTTAACGTCCGACTTTCGACTGTATGTAGCTTCGCACTGGTGCATTCCACAAAGCCGATCGGATGCCCCATAAGCACAAGTCCTTCCGTCAGACGGGAGTCCACTTGTTCATATTTCTATACCTGAGGTAACCTGGGAGTTCTACCAAGATAAAAACAAATCAATGATATATTAATAGCTAGTGGATAGACATGCTTCCACTTTGTTCCGAAGCTTATCATTGTAGAGCTACAACTAGTTGCTTTAAACAATACTACTGTTGAACAGTATCACCGACATTTAAACGGAAAATTAAGATCACTGTTACGTTTTACGTACATTGAACAAAATGTGTTAATGAAAACCCAAGAAATGACAGTTTCACAGTTTGCCACTTGTATTTTTGGTTATCTAAACATCAAATAAGGTATTGTTTGAAACCACAAAATGTGTTTTGTCACGTCATGTGTCCTGGATAAAAATATATCATAATGAAACAAATAAAACCGGGAAAATTGACGTGTAGTAATCTTTTTTTTTTAATATCGAAAAATGCTAAATATTAACAATTCTATTGCTTTAAAATTGTAAATGTATTTATGTTAATGTTTTTTTTTGAAATGCCAAATTCTATTATAAGTATGATTTATAACATACTTTTCTTAAATTACCCGTTGATAAATAAAGAATTTTTCAGAAACTAAGGTTTTCAACTTCCGCAGTCAAAGTTGAAATAAGTTATATCTGGCTTTTCTTTTAAATCTCTTTTTGGTAACATAGCTCCTAATATTTTACGTATTTAAAATACACCACTGGCTTTCAAATGATAAGCTTAGAGCGTTTCTGAAGAAGGTAAATCCAGAAGACGCACATTTATAAATTGTTATTTTCATTCAATCCGATGGACCCTTATCTTTTTCTATAAACACTGTTTTTGAGATATACAATTGTATATATAAGTTTTTTTTGAAGTAGTTTAAGCCAGGCCTGGTACTGTCTGGACCCTGCTTAAAGGTGAAACGTTTTGGTAGTCTGATTTAATATATCCGGGAAACTCTCGGTTATATGTTTGTTCCCCAAAGTCTAGTACGAATACCTTCAAATACAGGAGACAGGAAGGACCCTTGAAATACCAGCCTTTCAGAAATAAACATACTCCCAGTAATATAATCATTAATAAACAACCTTATATAACAACCGAGTTTAGCCTTTTTAAGAATTTCCTCAAAGACACTCTCTTTATTGCGTAAGACATCAGTGTTTAAGAATTATGGAGGTGAATATGCTGTTTATTGATTTATCTTTTGTTTTGAAATTACCACAAAGAACCTGTTTAACTAACATCTTGTAGGAGTTCAATTGCGTCTACATTGAATATATTTATTTGTTTTTCTCACGCCTTGCATTGGTCAAGGATATAACTGATGAAGCATGTTAGTCATGCTTATTCAAAATTTTACTATTATCGAGAATGGACGAAAAATTCCAAGATTCGAGGTTAGTTTGATTATTTTCTTTATTAATAATTTAGGAAAGGAAACAATGAAGACAAACTTGAAACAATTAATTGCATATTTCAACAATTTATGTAAACATTGAAGTGCTGTCATAGATAGTAAGTAGAATTTATCGGACTTGCTGCATTTGGAGAAGTTTTGTAGGCGATAGGACAATACACAAACGATACAACCAAAGGTCACACGACATATATACGGACAAAAACGGAAACATCTTTATAAACGCACAAATCTTAACCCTCGGCAGCTATAACTCCTATTTTAGATGGAGGTGATAAAGGGTACTCCAGAAGGGTAATTGCGTGTGATACGGCTTTAATAATACTAATTAATCAAAACTGATAATTGGTCAACTGGTTAGGTTAAGAATAGGTAACAAGTATATGTTAATAATTACAGACAAATAATGAATAGTTAGATTTAAAAGAATTTGCCGTTTTGTCGTACTTGTAAGTTATTCCGTATTGGTGGTAGATGATGTAATAAAACCTGAAATTTGTAAACTGCATGTTTAATAAAGCAACCTACAGCAATGTAAGTAGTAATATTTACCTGTCTGACATTTTGTATGCTGTTGTTTGTCTTGTGGTCATGGCGTTGTCAGTTTATTTTCGACTTATGAGTTTGAATATTCCTTTGGTATCTTTCGCCTCTCTTTTTGATATTTTGGAGAAAATGATTAAAAAGATGAATAATGGTGTTTTGTTGAAATGCCTTTGTTGACTTCTTGATGTCCTTTCTGGTTGTATTGTATTGTGCTTTGCTATGTGCCTATACAATCGAAAAAAAAATATACTCACCTAGTTCTATGTAATTCATCCGTATTATGCATTGTCAAATGTGTGACTTAATGTAGGAGGCGTTATGTCTTAGTGATTGAACGTTATAGATCACCGTCATTGAATATCTTATTATATTTCTGAAACAGGAAAAATATAGTCTATGTCATAAACAGTAGAGTTGAAGCGGGACTGTTCTGTTCCTCCCTGCAAATGACATTAGTTGTTTGTTTAAATTGTGGGTTCGTTCATTTTGCGTTGAAATTGAAATAAAATGTGTAGTTCGTGGAGTACATTGTATAGTTTGAATGGTGTGTGGAACGTTTAAATTTTAGCATATTCTTACTTTCAATTATTTTATTTTCCAACAAATATTTCATTTGTCTAATTATAATCTGGAGCATATCTTGAATGGTGAACATCATGATTATATTACCGGGTAGTCAAATTCCTAATAGATTCTTAAATGTATACTGATGTGTACTAATTGCTGTTTCTGAAGGGTTACTAGAAAAGCTGACGCTTACCAAAGTCATGCTGTAAATGTATTATTAACGTCTTGTTTATAAAATTAAAGGTCATACATGGTATGGATCCCATTAGTTTAACATGATAATTGTAAACGGGTATAAATATACCACAGACAGTTCAACTTAAGTATAGCACTTGCATGTATGATCACAATGTGTGGATTTAGAGCATGCTTTGAAGTTTATCCCATATATCATTGTTATTGATATATACGACATGTCGATGAAAACAGATGATGTATTCATATGTGTTAGTTTTGGCTTTAGTTTTCACTGGTGGTTTTAAATTTCTCTAGAAATGTTATCTTGAATATTTGAGCGATGGAACCGAAAAACTTATTTTAATTTTTTGCAACACCAATTCTTCATCAAAACAGTTTTGCCAAAGTAGTTTTGATTAAGAAAAGATAAACTCAATGTTTTACGGTGGTCAACACAAATTGCTTGATCTTAACGATGTCTCGCTGTTTCGTCTTGAAAATATTTCCAGTGTTATAAATGCTAGTTGCTCATTGTCAAGCTGGGTTTGAGTAATGGTTTGAACGTTATCTAGGTTTGGCCTTCAATACTAGACAGTTTGCATAGCTGATGTCTACCATACCTTCAATACTAGACAGTTTGCATAGCTGATGTCTACCATACCTTCAATACTAGACAGTTTGCATAGCTGATGTCTACCATACCTTCAATACTAGACAGTTTGCATAGCTGATGTCTACCATACCTTCAATACTAGACAGTTTGCATAGCTGATGTCTACCATACCTTCAATACTAGAGTTCTTTCGTTTTCCATTATTTTTACTCCCTTGTTTGTCTACTTATACATTTGACAATGAGATTTAAGATGACTCTGCCATACTACCTTTGTATAATACTTATTACCAAAGAATTTATCATTGATTAAACAAAATATTGTTAAAATCTGGCTCCCACTCCAAAACATATGTTAAAGAGTCTTTTGCAAGGATTGTTTGCACAATCAAATATTATTTCTTTCAATTGGTTATATGGACCTGATCCATTCTGGCGTAATTGATCACCAAAATATATTACAGTTAGAAATCCAACATTATAGTAAGGCGATCGATTCCGCCATTCATTCTCTAAACACTTCCGGTAAATTAATCAATACTTCGTGATTAGGTTAGACAAAACTCTCTTCTGAGGTTTCGATTTTTTTACAAATTGATGACAAGATATATATTTTATGCTTACATAATAGGGCTGTGTTAGGGAAAATTAGGTGTTGGTTGGAAATTTATGATTGCTTTCATTCTGACGTCATTCCTTATAAATTCAGTCCGTAAAACTCGAACAATGGGAATTATTAGTTTAAATTAGATACTCACGTGGTAAAAAGAAAATGAACCTTTTATTAAAGTGCTGAATGATTTGTGTGTATTGAAACAAACTAAATGTATTTTACTAAAAGAATGAGTCTTGCATTAATTGTGGCTGATTTAGCCAACTTAATTAATAAAAGTTACTAATGGTCCGTATCATTGAATCGTGGTATGGAAAAATGGCGACGACCAAAAAACGAATAACTAAAATATAACATGAAAGTGGAAAAAAAACAAAAACCTAAGCCACCTCAGAATAAATATAATAGTATAAAAAATTATAAAAATGATAAAACTGACAAATGGAATGTTCGATTTATTGATGTAATTATCTTATAAGAAAAGTATTGTTTTGTTGGTCCTGTTTAATACTGATATAATTCTATAGTTTAGTATACTATAATTCTCGAGTGTATAGCTTTATGGGTATTTATATTTATATATATTCTTCATTTTGAAAGCAGTAGTTTAGATCGTTGTTTTCTTATGTTAGTTTTATTTAAACATAGTAATATAAACTCTACAGCTTCTATGTTAGAAAAGTACAGAGACATGCATTTACCTTTTATTTTTTGTTAATATATTAATAAATTGTTAGCTTAATGTGCTAGTCAAATGAATGGTACTATACCGATGTTTTTATTTGTACAGTTTGGCAGTGAAGTCTGGTAATGGTACACAAGGTGGACCAAACAGTAGAATACCTTTACCAGAGAGAGATGACCCGTAAGTTAATCATATCTTATTCGGTTATAATGAGTTTGCTTTGTGGATGTCATACTAGATTTTTCAATTCTTGAAATATCGCAGTGGTGTACACACTTGAAATAATCTCGAAAAAAAATACACAAAGTGGATAACAGGAACTACAAGCAGAAGTACAAGATGAAAATTGCTTCAAATATATACAGTAAAAGTGGAACTTGGCTTTGCTAATTTGTTGAAAAGAAAGATATTTTAGGAAGCATATCAGCAGATACAATCATATTTGCTTCTGATTTCCATTCATCGCAAAAAGTCTCCCTTTGACATTCAGGAAAACGAACTCGACAGTCTACACACTTTACATCATCTTACAGTAAGGGACGGAGTGTTTCGAATGATAATTTTAAGCGTTATAAACATGTAAATATGTTTACCTAGGTAAAGGACATAGTCTTTGTTTGTTCCCTATTACAGAAGTGTTAAAAAAAATAGCAGTAATTCACCATCCTGCTGGATAGATATCAGATAACGTTTTACAGTCCTCGAACCGTGTAACTTTTCACTTGCACTTATGTAGTGTTTTGTGAACTTGTTCGTCTTTTCGTTTTATGTCATGACGTTGTCAGTTTGTCTTTGACTGATGAGTTTTAAATGTCCCCTTGGTATCTATCTACGTTTTTTACACCATTCCTAATTATGTCATGCACTATTTCCCAATTACACCATACAAAATGTCCCGTTTCAATATTCCCTTTCCCGATTAAACCATACACAATATTGTATAATTCAAAATTATGTGCGATTACAAATATTTATAGGTAAAGAAAACGAACCAATTACGAGGATGTAAAACCCCATACATAGTTCCATATTGCACGATATACCATTTCCCAATCGCATAAAACACATTCCCCAATCGCACGATGCACCGTTCCCCATTGCACTACACACCATTTTCTATCATATCATTTATGTTTTATTGGAAAGTTACACCATTAAAGGGCTGCAAAAGGGAATTCTTTTTTTTAACAGACATTCAACTATCAACATTGGAAAAATATTACAACCCAAAAGGTTCAATTATATTTCATCAAGATATAAGTGAATTAAACACAAACTATCACAGAAACGGTTTGTTCTAGGTAACATTTGACCCGAAAAAAGTTACACACACATTTTATACTAAGGTTGTTGTTGAGAGAAATACGGAAATTACATATTTATCCAGAGTGAATATTTTTTTTCTGTTTGAAGGATTTGTTTTGGTCAAAGAAAATCTTAGTACTACGCTATATTATGTTTTGATAATATTAATGACTACTTTATATTTCAGGCCTACACACGAAGAAATAGAAAGTTGGGGAGAATCTTTCGATAAATTAATGCAAAGTAAAGGTATTTTCAAATATCTGCACCTAGGATCTCACATTTTGTAGTTACTAAATTATTTCATTCATGCATTCATTCAAGATGTTTTTATTTGAAAATGGTTATTATTTCATATCACCAAGTCGTTCTACTTTGGTTGCATTCTTATTATATATCTAGAAAAAAATGAAATAACTCTTTTTTTTTAACACAAATTTTATGCGTCCAAAGCGATTTTCTATATTTACCTTCATCAGGAACGTTCAAAATTATTTAAGTATTTGGAAGACATGGATGTATAAGAACCGAAAAATTAAAACAGTTATCAGACCAAAAGGAACCTAAAAATAATAGCTAAATCCTTCTAAGGTTTACTGTGCCTGAGAGTGAGAAACACGTTAATGTGTTTTTTAAGCTTATAGTGCCTTATAAAGTATAAAAAATAGTTTGGATACAATGAACAAACATTTAAAATAAGTCGGATCATCAATACAAACGAAACAAGAGGAACCAGAAATTAAATGGATTTTTTTTTTGTATAAGTAATTAGACTGTATGTTGTTTTAAACTGTAGTATATTATAATTTGATATGCACTTTGCACATTTACACTTAGAACAAATAGTTTTAACTATTTTAGATATCAGTGTTAAAATACGTCAACTTTCGCATTTTATTATTTGATGTATTATATGAACAATACTCGGGTACCAAGAAAAATAACAGATTTGTGTATATGTGATAAGAAAATCTAAATCATGAACCCAGCCTCTTTAGAAATATTCCTTTGGTACAGATATGAAGTGTCTTTTTAGTTTAGGTAAAGTGAGTAATTGCCATCACTTAGTGTCCATTTCCGTCCATCGTTTGAATAATTTTCACATATCAAATTCTAAGCAAACTCTGCAGGATTGGTATAAGGATCGTGTTCTCAGATGAAAAACTTTACTGCTACTGGCACGAATTGATTCTCTAATTTGCCAAATTAAAAAAAAAATCTTCTTTTCTGAAAAAAAGTGAAATGATTTGATTTGGTAAAGGATTGATTAAAATAAAGGCAACAAAGCTTTCTTATGATTGGCCAATATAAAAAAAAAAATTTTCTCGAACCTTGTGTTTAGATGGAACATAGTTGAAATTGTATCCGTATCCAAATGGGTAATGGCTTTTTCTCTGCAACAGGATGTATGATTTTAACCAGACATTCATGATTAATGGAATGTCCTCTAAAAACGATCCTCATTTGGTCTCATTGGGATATAAGCAGGGCAACAGAGGCAAATTTAATTAAATAATATTTTCTTCAGAAAGTAAAAGGTAAAATGGCTTGACAATTGAAAAGATTGATAAAAAGAAAGCTATCGAAGCTAAATTTGTCAGAAATTATCTACTATTTGGCAATTAAGGTTTAAATTTTCCTGGTGAGCGATTCAAGTTTCTTAAAGCCTTTAGTTACAGGATAATAGGGAAAACAAAAAAAATATCGAAATTACAATAATGAAAACTTTTAACTTTTTGTTCTTTAGTTACAGGATAACAGGGAAAACAAAAAAATTATCGAAATTACAATAATGAAAACTTTTAACTTTTTGTTCTTTAGTTACAGGATAATAGGGAAAACAAAAAAAATATCGAAATTACAATAATGAAAACTTTTAACTTTTTGTTCAACTATTGTACTATAACATTTACATGAACCACATTTATTAATCTTGCATCAGTTGTTCAGGATTGGCATTAATGCATGTTGATTTAAATATTGAATTTATAGTAGGTATCTGGAGTCGGTTTCACAAAAAAACTTACGACTAAGATTGATCGTAAGTATACTGAATTTTTCATGACTTACGTTCAATCTTAGTCGTAAGCAATTTTGTGAAACCGACCCCTGGTATGGTAACTCCACCCGATTACACCAGATAGCTGCATATAGAGTATATATCTCCCAGTTGATACGATATTCCAGGGCTTGCGTTTCATATCATGATTTCCTTGATAGAGGGTTGCTACTCACAAGGAAGCTATTAAACCAAGAGTTCCAAGTGTTGAAGTTGAAATCATCCCTTCGAAAATTTTACGGACGCCATCACGAGTTGGTTGACCGTTATGGAACATCTGTTTCACAGATGACGACGGCTATGTTCCAATCGTAGGGCCACAATCCCGTCCTCTTATTCCCCGAATGTGATCTACCAAATTAGACTTGTCATCGGGTTTTTACATAAATGAGCAACACGACGGGTACCCCATGTGGAGCAGGATCTTCGTACCCTTCCGGAGCGCATAAGATCACCCCTGATTTTTGGTGGGGTTCGTCTGGCTCAGTCGTTAGTTTTCTATGTTATATTTTGTGTACTGTTGTTTGTCTTTTGGTCTTTTTCTTTTTTTTTTGCCATGGCGTTGTCCGTTTATTTTTTGAGATATGAGTTTGAATGTTCCTTTGGTATTTAGAAGCCTCTTGTTTATCAAATATTATAATCCCTAAAAATGTGGCATCGTGATATTTATATGCTGTACGAACAAAGGAAATATCTATAAACGAAAAAAGGGATTTTGGGTAAAAGCCAATGACAAAAACCAAAGTGTAACTAAAATTGATATCTAGTGGTTAAAAAAGAATCTTCAACAATTGCCATCTCGCACTCCTTATGAAACGCTCAAAATCGCCTAGATTAGTTGTGTAAAATAAAAAAAATCAACATCTGGTCCAAACGCCACAGTAATTCTGATTGACTTCTGTGGTAAGAAGTAGGCAGAAAAAAGTCGAATCGCTATTGCACTGGGTTGATAGCTATATTTCAACATCTTCTCTACCTGTGTTTTGTGGCACATACACAAAATTGCAGTGCGGTGGATATTGTTTTGATCTTACCTATGCACATGGCAAGCAGTTTATAAAAACAAATATATGATTAGGTATCCAACGTGTTTATTAAAATATTTGTCAACAAATACCATTGTATTATGATTAACGTAACTTGCAGAAAGTAGTAAATCAGGTCTTGATCTATCTGCTTTCAAAATTGTCAAAGGGAAATAATTCAATTTCAAATATTGTCTTAATAATTTGTTGGTTCAATAGGATGCTTAATTTGCTTAATTTTAAGTTATCAACATAAATTGAGTGCAATCAATACCGCCTCAGTGCTCACGAACATTTGACATAAGTTTGTTTTTAATATCAAATACATGTTTCTCATGCAGGTGGACGAAGGACATTTAGAGAATTTTTAAAGTCAGAATATAGTGAAGAAAATATATTATTCTGGTTAGCGTGTGAGGATCTCAAGAAGGAAGAAAACCCAGAGATTGTAGAAGAAAAGGCTAGATTAATATATGAAGATTATATATCTATACTTTCACCTAAAGAGGTAATATTTAGGAAAATATTAAGCTTTCAAGATCGATAATTGTATTGCAAACCGGACCAAGTTTCAATTTAAATGGTCAGCTTGGTTAACTTAGTTATTTTCTCTAACTATTTAATGTGCATCTGGGCGTTTGTTTGTTCATTGTTTTAAAGACAGGAGTTGTTTTTGCTAGATCAAAATTTGAAAACTGTAACAAGTTACCGATGATTCACCTTTCGTAAAGTAAAATACAGAATGATTCAAATTTAAGCATCAAACAAACACTATATTTTGGACGAAAGAAAACAATAGCTCACATCTCTTGTACCTTAACCACAAATATACCGACTAAAAGTTTTAAATACAGACACGTCTTGCAGCATCTCAATTTAAAAAAAAAACTTCAAGTCTTAATATCCTGATTTCACCTGTGGAAGTTTCCCATTAATATAAAATTAAGCTGGTCAATTAAATAGACCTGCGTCTTTGCAAAATAACAAGCTCCAAATCGTCCCAAGTCCATAAAAGTTGTGAAAAACTTAACAGAAAGGAGCAGAGATCCGCTATTAATCAATAAACTCATCATAGATACTAGAATTGCAATTTTGTACGACAAATGCGCATTTCGTCTACAAAAGACTCATCTGTGACGGTCAAATCAAAAAAAGATAAAAAGCCAAATGAAGTACGAAGTTGGAGAGCATTGACGACCCAAATTCCGAAAGGTTTTATCAAATATAGCTAAGTTAATATATAATTATGGCCACATCAATGATAATTCATGTCAACACAGAAGTGCTGACTGCTGTTTTGTGGACAAATTTTGTTTTGTTTTGTTTTTAACTTTACTTAGTTTTATTTTAATTCATATGTTGCAGGTTAGCTTAGATTCCCGTGTACGAGAAGTTATAAATAGGAATATGGTTGATCCAACACCGCATACATTCGATGAAGCACAGCTACAAATATACACACTAATGCATCGAGATTCTTATCCACGATTTCTTAATTCTCAAATGTATAAAAAACTACTAGAAGAGTCACAATTATCTTGAACCTTAGAAAATTTAATAAATTTTAAATTCACTACAGGTCAAATCAAAGTTGTGTCACATGATAAATTAGTGCTGTGTTGTTGGATATCTAATGAAAGATGTGAATTATTGGAATGGTGCCATCTAGATTGATGAATCCTTTGCTCATCCAATCAAAGTGCGGAATGATTTTGTTGATTTAAAAAAAATATTCCGTCATCGAACAACTTGGATTGCCAACAAAGATTTTTACAAAATAATTTTGTTGGAAATTTTGTGATATGTTCGTTGTTACTGAGCCATGTGTGCGACGTTTAGTTTATATGTGTCTGAAAAGCCGTCTTAAGTACCACGAACTTGGCTTTAATAATACTCATATGACCCACAACTTTCGATTTCAATCTCTGTACAAAATACTTGTTATGTTTATAGTCTCAACCAATTAATGATAAATGTTCAATTGTTGTGCAATGTGTTTTCTTTCTCCGGACTTGTGCAATATTTTATTTTACTGTATACCTTTTTATTAAAATGAAACTGTAGTTACCCCAAAACAGTTACACCATTTATAAAAAACATGTTTCTATTCAATGTTTTTAGCATAAGTTGTCCAGAAAACATAGTCTTTCATAATTGATTTCTTTTTATGGTGCTTTTCTGACCTATTAGTATGTACACTATCCATATCACATTTATTGTCATCAAAGGAAATCTTAATCAAAGTCAAAAACTTAAATTTTATTAACTGATCTTTATGAATTGAACAATTTATATTGATCTAAAGAAAACAATAACTATTGTTAAAAATTACAACTTACAATGCTTGAATAGAGCTGTTCAATTTAAAGTTGCATGTAGAAGTATGGAGTAAAATCAGGAAAAGGTGAAACTGATTATCCTGTACAAATTCATGTCAACAACTCACGTTTTATAATGTTTTATATATATAATCAATTATTGTTATATTCTGTTATTAAGGTAAAATTGCAGCATTATAAGTAAAATCTCGTTTTGTTTAAAGTGCATATTTCTTTAATGTATGCAATAATAAGTGTGTTTGCTGTAGGTCACTTGAAATGTTAAAGTTGCAAAGACAAAAATGTTAATGTTTCAAGTGAGGTATAACTGTATTAATTTTCAAATGTTTCAACAGTTACAATATTCAAATGTAATATATATATATACAAAATACACTTTTTTTTCTTCCACTATTTTAAATACACTTCTCTCTGTTTTGTTCCGTGAATAGCTAATATTCATTTTTTATTTATTGACATTTTAAGTAAAACATGTAGTTTTAGGCGAAGACTGGGAACGTATTAGTTTGCAGGCAAAACTAAAGGAATGAAAATAATAAAGTCATGTGCAATTTCAAATTAATATAGTTTTTGATTATCTGCAATGTTTCAATCATCTTTGAAAGCTCTCAACTAACCTAAAGTATTTTTAGAAATGCATAGTAGGTAAAACTATCATAAAGTTTTTTATACGGTAATTGAATATTCACATTCCAATAGGATAGATACAACTCTATAACAACTATTTGAGGTTTACTATTAATTTATATGTATGTTACTGTACTTTCAACAATATATTAAATGGACATTGCTTATAAGTTTTCTCTTGTATGTTGATGTATTATTTTTATTTGTTTGAATTTGTGAATGTTTGATTTTGTTAGAATGTGTAATATTCGAATCTTAAGATGATTTTGAACTATTTTTGTAGGATACATCACCTTGGTAGCCAGTGTTGTATGTGCAAGTGATAGAACGATTTTATTACCATTAAACCTACCAAATAGTTGTCTTTGTGTGAGGTCTTTTTGAAAATTTGATATGACGCAAAGCACTCTGATATACTAGTATCAATGTTCTTTAATTATACTTGTAGTGATTGTGAATAGATAAAAAAAACCTATAACGTTAAATTATTTTATTTGAATTATTGGAGTTAACGAACAATGTTTACCCCACATCTCACTTTATTCATGTGTAATTGTTTTTGTCAAACCCAACATAATAAACACAAATATCATATTCTTAGGCTAACTTAAATCCTTCAATGTTACATATTCACAACATGTGTAATGTGTAGTAAAATTCAAAACTACTGACGAGACAGCAATATGAAGATATGACATTATATACTGTTATGATCGTGTAGACTAGAAATACTATCCAGGTATCCTAGTGAAATATTGAAATTTTATCAGAACAATTCATGCACATGCAAGTTTAGTTCATTTCACCTACGATGTTAATTCACACGATGCTGCAACAACAATTGGTGTTTCAAACCTCGTATTAATCATTACTTTCTGGACATCAACGTTACAAAAGCATTGTCTACTTAAGAGACGTATTTAAGCACAGTTAATATCACATATTTTTAATAATAGAAATGAACTGAATTGCACATTATTCGGCTGACAGACTTTCAATTCTTTTGACGAATCTTTTTATATTTTTGTTTTAAAAATGAAAAGGATACAAATCGAGTATATTAGTCATATTTAAGATTAGCTGTATAAAGTCAGTCTCAGAAAATACAACATGAAAGAAAAATATACCCTCAATTAATACACTGCTTTTGATATTGGCAAACGATTTGTGGAATGTCAACATATAGTCATTTTGGCCAAAGATTGGAAAATAGTGTGAATGATCAAAGACTTCATTTAAAAGTACGTAAATTGACATATATACTTATTTATTTGGTAAAGACATATTACTTCATTTAAATTTTATTGTTCAAAGGAATTTCAACAAATTACAACCCGTAAAAATTGAATTGTAACAGTCAAAAAAATAATCATATCATAATAAAAAAAATGCCATATAATATTTTACCATATCAGTAACCTGACTGAACTTATTCAGTGTAAGCTTCACTCATCTTGATGGTAATTTACCCTTTGTTTTCATTATATGTGTAATAAATTTTTAGTTCAAGATTGAACTAATTGTCACTTTTCTATCATTAACAAATATTAGGAATGTTTTATTTGTTGTTAATATAAATTTGAAAAATAGCATGATGATATTGTCAGTGCAAGAAGAAGCGACTTCAACTTATGCGTGTAAGTTATAGTTGCAGAACTCAACGTTTACATATTGATAATGTTGTGTACAAAATCAACTTTACCTTCAAATTTCTGTTGTTCCCGTCCGACGCACTGTTTGAACTATCGAAAATTAGAAAGGAAAAAAACTGTCTTCCCAGATGACAGTTAATATAATAACAATTTAAAACGGGGGAACATCACAATGAATAAAATATCCCAAAATATCATTGGTTCATAAATAAAAAGTCATTTGTCGTGTCATATTTAGCTGACGGTTTGTGTTTCCTGCAATCAACGCTATCTTACCAACAAACGGGTATCTCTATGTTTTGATAAGTCTCAGCGATATATTTATTAATTCATAACAGTTTTTCATTAAAATGATTTAGTGAAATGGACATAACTAGAAAATTATGTGATTTGTCCTCATTTCAGTAAATTCAAGGTGGCTATTTATACAGATAAATTTAGTGTTTTCTATAAGTGCCACTTTTTTCGAGAGATTACATTTTTTCAATGAGGTTAGTTAATTATATTTCATCTATTCATCTGACGTCTAGGTATGAAAAAGAATGCATATTTCTTGGTTCATTTTAACCACATTTGAAAGATAACAGATGCTTTTTGTTTAAGAACAAAATGAAGAATATTAACTATGTACCATACTTTTAAATCGGAATTAAGACTTGAATGTAAATTTTGGTCTTAACCAAAATTTTATATATGAATAAGAATATGCGTTGGTTTATATAGTGAAACAATTATCACGCATTTATACAATAAGTGGTGTTTAGATATATTTATGTCTCTTCCTATGAAGTAATTGAGCAGGTCTGTGTATTCAGCAGCTATGTTTAATCCCTGCTGTTTCAGACATTTCAGAAGGAATAGTTTTAAAATGTCCGTTATTTTGTATAACAGATATGAGCTGAAATTATTCTCCATTCTAGGAATGGGTTCTTTATTGCATTCACCTTGTCCATTCGTTCAACAATTATTTCTCAGGTCTTACAGAACAGAATGACTTCAGTTTTGACAGTGATAAGTTATAACTTTTGACCACTTTTTGGAGATGTCAGACACCTACTTCCTGTATGCCAATACTTTCAATTGGGGGGTTTACTAAGTAAATCTCGTGAAACCATGTTGGTAAAACACATGTTACAAGAATTACATTTGTCAACTGTCTAACCATTTACCGTTCATTATTGAAATGACGAATGGATCTTCATCTTAATTGATTGTTTGTTTTAAAACAACAATGTAAAAATTAAACACACATTCTCATGTACAATATTTAACAAGTATCAGATATATACTTGTTTTATTGTATTTTATTCTGAACACTTATTCATAAATTTGAATAAGCCAAATCCTTATATGGCTTAACAAGCGTAAAAGCAATAATACAAATATGTTTGTCTTCCAATGATCAGTCATTATTGGAGCAATTAATACTTTAGTTTAATTAAACTGATTCTATTGACAGCTGATTTCTTTATTAATTTTATTTTTATCTAGCTTGGTTACATATTAAAATGACATCACATTCGATATCATCTTGACCTCGATATCTTCAAATGCCCAAAACTTGAGATACGGTCTTTGAACAATATAAGTTCAACTTTATTGTATAGTTAGAGAAATATTAATACTAAAGCATTTTACAGCTTTGTTTTGAACATTATTTTTGACACACATACAGATAAATGTCATGTCGTTCAACTTTTGCAAAACATCGTTAGTGTGGAAAATTTTAATACCTTAAATGATTGAAGCAGAGCTATTTCATGATGATTTGTTATTTACAAAATCTATCCCATTGATCATTTTTTTTATTTTTGCTCATCAGTGCAATATCATAATATGGACATAATTATTTTCAAAGTATATTTTTTATGAAATATTCCAATTTGTCTCGACATTATTACAAATATTTGTGTTGATCAAGTAGTCCAGTAACGTGTTCTAATTACTTGTAATATTAACAGTGCATCAAACTCATCAAAAGGTTCTTTTTCAAATGTATTTAACTTTGTTTCTCTAAGCTGTCACCTTTCATAGTAATTCTTATTATGAATTGGTTGCTAAAAGCTTGCACTGACGTTAATTAAAATATACCTTCTATTGGCTTCTGCACTATTAAGGGCTTACAAATCGTCAGTTTAAGTCTAATGCACATGAATAAAGCTTCATTTTTCACATTACTGTCTGTTTTAAATTTTTATAAAAGTCATATTTCGAAAAGAATATTGGTTATATTAAATTTTAAAATGCTCCCCTATCATGAAATATAAAGACCAATCATACTTTTCGAAGGGGAGTCGTAAAAGAATTTTACCAAACTGAATTGAGAATATCCCTTGGGATGAAAAATGCACATATCAATTATTTTTTAAGTCACACAAGCTTATTGGGAGACACACATTTGGCTTTGGATGATCTATCTTGAATATTTTGTATAATTAATTCAGTTTTTCTTGTACACATATTACCTAAAAGACGATTTCTATATATCTGAAGGTTATTATTTCAAAGGTGAATGAATATCGTACGAACTAAATATAGACCGATTTGCTCATATAAAAGATTCCGCATTTCAAGAAATTTGAAGCAATTTGTTTCCCTTTTGCCTTGACATCAGATAAAGTTAAATACGTAAATTCCTTGGCCTGATATCTTCTGTCTTTATTCAACAATGCGCATAGCTGAAGATGCGGGTTAGAAGAACTTGTGCATTTCATTTGTAGAATTCTTAAAAGGTCTTCAAGGAATATTCAGAAAAATGTAAATTTTACATATCTATTTTATATACATTTATATATATTTCAAAACTTTATTTGTACGAGTATAATTTTACATATCTACCTTCCAAGCAGAAATTAATACATAAACTATATAATTGTTAATCGTTTAAATTGGACATCAAGTGTAATATGGAGACCAATTTCATTAACATAGTACTTAACGCTCAAATATTTAAAACTTTGCTCGAATAATGGAGCTATTGTGTATATTTTATTCATTAACAACAACTTCTGTTAATTATATTCAGCCGTTCACGTAAGCTTTAATAAACTGTTGTTAATATTTGGAAGAGGGCCAAAATTGAAAACGTTTATGATATAGTATCTAGGGAACAAAAGAACCTAAAGTTTTTATTTAAAAAAAACCTCAAATATTGCAATTGAAAAAATAATAAATATTCGTCAGATTATTATTCAATTTGATATATTACTTTTGTTTAGATAATTTTGGAATGCATTAATGACAAGTATGTTCAAATGTGTCAAATTGTCAAATTGTAGTTTTACAAATGATAGACCTCTTTAACAAGTTCCATAAAATGAATATTTGTAAAGGAAATAAATTATCTTGTAACTTTTTTGGAACTTGACATGAAGACATCGAATGCTGTATAACGTCTAGCCTAGTCTGTAGAATTGTATTTAACAGACTCAGCGTTTATTTCATTGTGTGTTGTACTTTTGTTAAAATTTCTGATCACCTACATTAGTAGTGATGGCACGTTATATTCATTGTATTTCATGTAACAGAATGGAGGGTTAGAAAAATAAATTCTCTACAAAGTGTTTTGAAATGATAATATTTACGAATTCCAGTAGATTTGTGTTTGAGACCTGTGCATTTCTTTTGTTTATAAGGTGTGATGTGGTTTGTAAGTATTTTGACTCCAAAATGCATGTTTTAATAAAACCTTTTGTTTATTAGGTATGTACTAGTACATTATTAATTTGAAATTTTCTTTTTTATACATGGTTGAGTGAAGACAATAATATATGTGTTTGTAGTTCATTATTCCTCCAATCTCAGTAGCATAGCATTATAATGACTATTTCAAAGCTCATAAATGTTTGAATTTTATACGGAAAAAATTATACTTATTCAACGACTTTCATAAGACTTTATACTCATCCATTCAAAACTAAAACATCAGCATATTTGTATTTCTTTATATGTCTCGGGCTAGAACTATATAACGAACTCCGAGAGATAATTTTGTCTATTCGAACTAAATAATGGTAAATTTAATGGTATTGTTCATGCTTTAAAGTGGATATTTAAATGAAATATATTTTAAACTTGTTTCACTACTGAGTACCGCTTATATATGTCTCTTGTCAGAGTGTATAGTTAAAAAGGGACCAATATCTGTATTGTTACATCTGTAGTGTAGCTGAGCATAATTTGATTGGCGGGTAAAGTACACTGGTAAAGTACCCATTGTACTACTTACATTCTACATTCTTTGTGGTGTTAAGAAATATTTAATTTATTTGGGCAAAACTTGCTCATGTTTGTTATTTTTGCAAAGAACGTAATATTAAATTGTTTGGTACCCCGTACTGTTAAAAATATGTTTTACACATTCTTTTATTTGTGGTGTAGACTATTTCATACAAAATATTTACGAATAAATCTTACTATTGTGATTTTTCATGTTGATATTTTAAACAAGGATAAGACTGGATTCGCCTTTATAAGTTATTTACAATCTTATAATTAAAAACAAATATTGGTATTGATATATACCAAGTATTGGACGAAATTACAGGCAATATTGCTATGCTTAATAAGCAATTAACAATGTCATGATTAAAACAAAAGGGGTTTGATAAAGACCAAGTATCGATTTGGAAATTAAGATAGGTTAGTAGACATTGAAATATATGTAAGGTTAGTAGACAGTGAAATAGGTGTTAATTGTATTTTTGCCCCCCCCCCCTTTTTTTTTTTATCTCAACCGATGAGTCTTGTGTAGAAGAAACGCGCGTCAGGCGTACTAAATTGTGAAATTTTTTTCTACCCATACATTAACAGCCTTAGCTAGATTTGACACACCTTTGGTATTTTTAGTTTTTAATGCGTTTTTAACTTCTTGATCTTATTTGGCCTTCCAACTGTTTTGATTCATGTACAACCGATGAGCCTTATATAGATAAAACGAGCCATTCTTACGTATTAAATGATAAGCCTTGTATCTTTAATGAGATTTTATGCATGTCTTTGTTAAGGTCATCATGTATTTTATGTGTTTTGTCAGTTTATTTTCGATATATGAGTTTGAATGTCCCTTTGGTATCCTACACATCTCTTTTAAAGGGATATCATCAGTAATTTGTTTGGAGATGACTTTTTTGTCATTTGATCACTACAATACATCAAAAGCTCTTGGACCTTCAATTAAACCATAAGAGTATACTCAAAGTTTTCAATGGGCTTAACATCATGATAATTTCTTTTTATCATGCATTGGAAAGAAACAAATTTAAAAGATCATCATTTGACAACTAATTACTTTGACCCTGTTCATGATTTTTGTTCCATTTGATTAAATGCAATGCTATTACCACAATATCTAAACCGATATGGTTGTTATGAACTTGGGAAAATGTAACATCTCTAAATTTCATTTTCTTTTCCTATGTTATGTACCTGCTTTTGGCTGATATCTGATATATGTGCATATGGCATCAGCTAGGCAAGTAGCGATCGTCAGTGGTATGATATCTTTCTTCTGTTTCAAATATATTTCCAGTGTTTCTTCTAGCTTAAAATGCGTCGCATGACCGTAACGTCCACAACGATACTTTCCCACTGCAATCAAAATATTTTCTACGTCTGACGTATAGCTAAAAAAAAGATGATGTGGAATGATTGCCAATGATAATGACAAATGTTAAACAATTCAAACGAGAAAACAAACGGCCTGATTTATGTACAAAACAATGAACGAAAAACAAATATGATATACAACAACAAACGACAACCACGTGGCAGGGTTAAACATGTTTCACGTCGCCCAACCCTCCCACAACCCAGTACAGTGGGATAACAGCACAAAAAATGGACAAACTATAAAAACAGTAATATAGGCTGAACTCATTAGATCGATACAAAGAAAAAAAAGTAACACAAAAACAGACCGGACGTGGCAGGGTATTTATACATCGCCACAACAAAAAAGGCACCAAGTACAGATCTAAGCTTACCCACAGTTACTAACAGCTAGATCAAAGCCAATAACAACTAATAAAAAAAATCATGTATCTAAGATTTTTTATAAACTCTGTATGCACAGTATTGTTTTTATTCATTTTCAATTTCATCTAACTTATTATCTTAATTTTAATTGTATGTGTTTCCCGATAGAAAAACTATCAAGAACACAAATACGAACGATCGTTCTATTGCGTTTTCCAAACATTTTTGTCTAAAAACATTCTATTCACTACTAACCACATTACAATTTTGATAAATTTTTAGTTGGCAATACTCATCGATCTAGAAACTTGAATCCATCATTTTTCCTCGAGGAAACAAGCATTTGTTGACTCTTTTGTCTTTAAATTCTTTATTCAAAGATGTAAAGATATTTATTTGACATCCGTATTTCTTTTCGCAAATTTCGTATCTTTTTACGTTTGTCTTCGAATGACACTTCCTGTTTTGATATTTCAACGTCGACATCGATGAAAATTGAGGAAAATGATTACAAATCCTCAAACATTAACACTTTTCGGATCACAATATGAGTTAGACAATGTAGTTATTCCGCAGCTGAAAATATAGACTCCTTTCGTAAAGAGTGAAAAAATTGAGGAAACTCTTGTCAACTAAGTCTTGACAGTAGAAAAGACTATGGGCATATGATTCACATTAAGAGCGTGAACTTTTAACTTTTTCAATCTTTTCAATGTTTGAGGTTGCATGTTTTTACGAATTCCTAGTGTTTGATGGTCAACCTTTTTGTTGATAATTTGTGGGCTGTCAAAACTCATGACGTACTTAAAAAAAATTTGTGTTACGTGCTAGTTTGCACCTTTTTTGTTTATTATTGAAATCAAATATAAGCTTTCTTAAGCTTGATTGATATTTCTTTTGAGACACTCTATGTTTTCCACTGGGTAATAATTCTACTGGTTGATTTGTTTTCGTATTCATATGTAGCCGAATAATTTTAGCATCTTTTAAAATGGTTCTAGTAGTTCTGTTTATTTCATAATAAAATATCCTTTTCTTGAAATTGACGACTTCACACCAGGGTCTATGAAAAAGTAGCGATGCTCTTTTCCCACCCATGAGCAGTTATATACCAGTTATCAATACGTTTTGAGCTTACATATTTCAATTGATACGTTTGACGCAGTATATCTTTATTATATTGACTTTACTTTAGCAGTATGTTATAACTCCAACAGATTTATAAGAAAGATCAGTGACTGAAATAGACAGTACATAATCGTTACGGTCGCAATTTGGCAGTTTTTTTTATAAGAATATTGAAGCAACGTTTTCTGTTCAGTAAATATAAATATATATGCTATAAAACAATCAATTATTTTCAATTATACAAACACTTTAATAATATAGCTGAGACTATAAGATACCACTAAGCATTCGTTTGATGTATTTGAGCTTTTGATTTGCCATTTGATAAGGGACTTTCCGTTTTGTATTTTCCTTGGAGTTCGGTATTTTTGTTATTTTACTTTTTACTTTTTACTTTTTATAAAAAAAAAAACAAAAAATAAAAATAACAATTTTTGAATTTAATGCATTCGAAGCTCCTACCTGAATTTACATCCAACGGAACGAATAGAAATTCCTGATTTGCTACAGGCATTTTCCGACGTAAATGGTGTCTTAAATCTTAAAGCTAGCCTATATCTCACTTGTATGACAGTTGTTAATAGCTTCGTTATATTGGCAAAATTGGGTGAGCAACCCAAACAGATATACTTGGTTAACATGACAGGTATTGGGATCAGGCATCCAACACTGTGTAAACATACATCACAGACATACGACACAACTGCATTAAAAATTCAAACAAACCTACTAATAAATCTAACAAAGACGCCAATAAAATAAGTTTTTTGTCGTTGATAGACCATAGTATAGTAAAACATAACGACATATAATGTTTCCGGATAAACGACAGATTAAGTAAAATATATCCACAGGGGTATACAGTATAAAATCTCATGCCTTGAAGGAATTTCAAGCCTTGGCCGCCCAAAGCCAAAACACGAGGACTGGATGTACAAATACCGAGCAACGTCAAGTGTCATTCGACGAAAAGGAGTATAAAAATACCAAAAAAAAAAAAAAAAAAAAATTTTAAAAAACAGGGGACAACTGAAAAGTTAATAAAATGAAACACAACGTCAGTACATAGAATCGATAACTCAAGACCATCCTGTATTATTTATGAATTAGACAATTAACATTTATCTATTAGGTCTTGGTACTTTCTGATGATTTTTTTGAGAAGCACTTTTTACATAACTCTGGGTCATTATGTTTTTGTTCTTTCCTTAAACAAACAAAGTTTTGGGATGATAATGCGAAAAAGTATGCCTGAATTCGAAGCACTCTGTTTTGCATTATAGAAAAATACGTATAAGTTGAAAGATTTGAAGTGCTAACATTTACTGTGCTAATTTTACTGTAAAAGATAAGCATATTAACAATTAATGTCTCTTCATTGATGCTTGATGTCAAAATATATGTTTTGACTTTGAAGTAGCGTTCAGTAAATGTGAAAACTCTCAGATCAGTACTTTGTGTCTTTCGTGTTTTTTGTTGTTGTTTTTAAGCTAAGCTGTGAACCGATCTGAAAAGTCAAGCCCTTTTCCAAAATTTGTATAGCTTGTTCTTGGGTTGTCACACATCTGTCCTGAGTTGGGCGGTGGTGGGCTGGTTTAGCCGTGCCTCATTATGCATATGTCTTTCGATAATTTTAGTGATTGTCGTGTGTTGTTGTGCATCATATTTGTTTTTCAAAATGCTAGGCGGAAGGCAGGAGCAGTTTTAAATCCTTGTTGAAAAGGGAAACATAGAAAGGTTTCACAATATATAATATTTCTGAAAAGAATTTGATTTAATAGAACATAAAGGTTGTCTTTCATTTGTCCTATAAATACACTGTTAGTTTTGAACGGAATTTCACACACATTTATTCAGGTTCAGAAGTACATAAGTTGGAATTTAGGGATATTTTCCTAAAAACAAATACTATTAAGTAATACTTAAATAAATACATATTTTATTCTTGAAACAGAAAGTTCGCAAATATAAAAGAATATATTTATTTGTCTTGATTGAGACACAGTTATACATTATTGACATCAAGTTTTTTGCACTTTAACGACAAATTTGAATAAATGAAAAATTGCAAAAACTACTAAAAATCACGTTGATAAACATGTGTTGATTGACAAATAAGCATACTTGTAAAATAATTGAGGCCATATGGCACTTAATTACTGTAATGGTTAGATATACATCAGGATTTGTACAGAAATAAAATCTAATTTGTAACTGGATAAAAATATATAAGTTATTAAAATGCTTGTACTCGATAGCTGATTCCATTATACGAAAGAACTGAAAAATTAAGATACATGTACCTTGCTCTTCGGTATAGTATAAAGCAAATATACAATTGTTACAGTTAATAAAACTACTAAACAGAAATAAATTCCGCTTCGTTACGACCTTCAATTTAAGAACGATGACTGTCCGTTTAAGGATTTATACAGTAACCCCAAAATAAGACTAACCGTTTTTTTATTTCCGTATTCGTATAAAAAGTAAAATCATAAAAATACTGAACTCCGAGGAAAATTCAAAAAGGAAAGTCTCTAATCAAATGGCAAAATCAAAAGCTCAAACACATCAAACGAATGGAAAACAACTGTCATATTCCTAACTTGGTACAGGCATTTCCTTATGGTGGATTAAACCTGGTTTTATAGCTAGCTAAACCTCTCACTTGTATGACAGTCGCATAAAATTCCAATATATTGACAACAATGTGTGAACAATACAAACAGACATAATAGGTAAAAATTGTCAAAAATAGGGATACAGCAGTCAACATTGTGTTATAATCTTAATCACTATACAAACAAACAAATATGTCAACAAAGAAAAACAAAATGGCATATAGACAAAGCACATAAGCAAAAATGAAAGACAAGAATACAAAAAACGACCATATGACAATAACACAATGGTGGGATGTATAAGTACCGAGCCACGCCACTGACGTTTTTCCGGGAGGGTATCACCTGCCCAGTAGTCAGCATTAGTTCGGACATGAAATATTATTGATATGTTCAGTTTCTGTAAATTTACAGTTGATAAAATATTGAAATGATCAAGACACTTAGGTTTTTCTAGATTGCCTAAGCCGTATTTGGCATTACTTTTCGGAATTTTCGGTTATAAATGCTCTTTTAAGCTTTTAATTTGATTTGGCAATCCAATTGTTTTCATACGAGCATTACTGGTGAGTCTTATGTCTGAGGTAAAACATGTCTGATAATTTTGATCAGTTTTTATGAATTTAATGATATCTGAAGGTTAGATAAGAGACATTAACCGATCTGCTAATGTGTGATGCCAAATCAACGAATATGATACAGCAACGTATTTAGAAAAACTCGGCCGTTGTCAGTAGTTGAACAGTAACTAATTAGCCTTCCATAACACCCAAGTTTGTGTTGGATCAGTTTTTAGTGTTATGTGAAGTGTAGTACAAACTGTTGGTTGTGTTTTATTTTGTCAATTTATAGTCTGTTCGGTTTTCCTTTTACTTAAATGATATTGTTGTCTACCTAATGCCTACAAGACTATTTGAATGCTGTTGAGTGCCTACATAGGGAACAAGATTATGACATTTCAATTTGTAACCAGTAGTAAAAAAAAAAAACGAAAAACAAAGTTGAACTTAAGAAATCTATTAGAATTCCATGAAGTCTATTCATTAGAGACTAACACAGTTGCTATAACCTATATTTTGCATTCCAACAACATGTACCTGACTTAGATTAGCTCCGGGTCGTAAACTATCATTCTCCTTGAAAATAAATATTCGTAGGTTTATCATTATTTATCAGTTTTTAACGTAAGTACAATACATACTTTGTTTTTTAATTAGATATTTCAAAAAGAAATTATCTCAAAAAATTAAATCCCCTGTTGATAATAACTCGAAAAACTGTAGTATTACGAATTTATGAACTTATTCCGAATGGAAAGAGTACTTTTCAAATGTATTATAGCATCACGACGGATGATACATATGGTGGGGTTCGTGTTGCTCAATATTTCTCTTTCTTTGTAATGTTTTGCTATTGCATGATGTTCTTTGTAATGTTTAGTTATTGTATGGTTTTCTCCGTAATGTTTAGTTATTGTATGGTTTTCTCCGTAATGTTTAGTTATTGTATGGTTTCCTCCGTAATGTTAAGTTATTGGATGGTTTTCTCCGTAATGTTTAGTTATTGTATGGTTTTCTCCGTAATGTTAAGTTATTGTAATGTTTTCTCCGTAATGTTTATTTTTTGTATGGTTTTCTCCGTAATGTTTAGTTATTGTGTGGTTTTCTTTGTAATGTTTAGTTATTGTGTGGTTTTCTTTGTAATGTTTAGTTATTGTGTGGTTTTCTTTGTAATGTTTAGTTATTGTGTGGTTTTCTTTGTCATGTTTAGTTATTGTGTGGTTTTCTTTGTAATGTTTAGTTATTGCATGGTGGTGCCTGTTTTGTTGGACTTTTGGTTGGCCTTTGATATCTTCTCTTTTAGTTTTAAAAGCATACTGTTACAACGTATACGTTTTGTTTCAGACTAATAATCCTATGAATAGTGTTAATATTTTCTACTGGTATAATTCCTAGATGGATTGTTGTTGCCAATAGAAGTGGTTGGCTTGTTTATAGTTAAAAACAAAGCACATGAGATTTGCTTACATGTGTATATGTAATCGTTATAACTTAAGCTGACATATTTATGGGGTTGAAAGAACATTAAAAATGTACGGTGAGGTGTTCTAGATTTCTTATTGCGTGTCCACTTAAACTGTATTTCACGGCGACAAGAAGAATTTCGCTTCATGGTTTAAAACATTAGGCTTATCTTTTAGGCTAAATGTTCACTGGTTTAGGTCTTATATCTCCTCGGCTTTCAAATATTTGGGTTTGAGCGTCTTTGAAGAAGGTAAATCCACATAAGCGCGTGAAATTAATAGTGTTATTTTCATTTAATGTTTTTAAATCTTGTTTTCCCATGTCTCATTTTCAGACGCGGGACACTTTAAGCGTTTTGTAAATTCCCTGCAGTTGTCAACTCTACTATAATGTAAAGCGAGATCTTTTTAAAAATATTGAGGTTGTTCAAAACAATTTCTTTCCTGCAACGAAGAAAACACAATGTGTACAGGAATCACTCGTTTATTACATATCATATATCAGACGTTTTGTTTTCATCTGATTACAATCCCTTAAATAGGTTGATAAAACTCGTAATTAAATTGATTTGCTGCAAGAATATGAAGAATTTGTATTCACATTAGCATCCATCTAATCATGGTTGCCGATTCTTGCTTTTTAAACTACTTGTGAAGGTGTTGAACAGTAAACATTCATCGGGCTGGTAGAATCTTTATTAGAGAAATACACACAAGAAACATTATAATCTACATCAAACGTTAGAAGCGAATTATGATACGTAAGGAAATGAGAGTTGTCTTTCCTTCTACAAAACATCGGGTAGTACAGAGGTGAATAAACTGAATAAAACATATACCAGTTCTATAATATCCCAAAAAGAAACTCTGCCGTCTATTCATTAAAATGGTAAGACCTTCTTCCTTTTTATTTGTTTCTCTTCAATTGTCAAAATTTAAAAGGTGTTAAAAACTACTGGAGTTTGAATTTCAAGGAGACTAGATAATATATCCAAAGGATTTTCAGTGAAATGTACTATATGCAGTACTTCAATATGTTATTTATCTAAAAAAAATCAAAGTTGAAGACAATTCTTATATATTAAAGCAAATTTTACATTCTTTTGTAAAAAAGTTTGCATCGAACGACAGAGTTAGCCAAAATGATTTAATTTCGTTTCTGAAAGACTACCACAAAGCTCTTATTTGTGTTATTTCTTTTTGTTTCGTAGGTTATGAATGTCCTTCAAATTCAATGTTTGGAAATTTTAAAATCTATCAGGTTGTATCTAACTTTAGAAATAAAGAGTATCAAGTCGAGAGGTACGTCATAAATTTGTTAGCAACTCAGAATACACATTATTTAAATTTAAGGAAATATTGAATGATATAATAAAAATTACGTTGGTGGGAAATAAATTAAAAGGAAATTGGCACTAACTATTTTAGCTCATGATAACGAGTATAAGTATCAAAAGAATACGTTGTTGGTTTAATTATAATGATCTTATGGACCAAATAACTACGTCACAGGATGATGTTTTTTACGTTTTATTCTCATTTTATCCTTCGACAGTACACCTTCTTTTTATTTGGAATCTGAATTGAGTATTGGAAGATTTGGAAATATCTACATGTTCAATCCATTAACCACTTGTCAATGCTTTTCTACGAAACCACCAATAATACATAAATACTTATAACTAATAAAAGATTAAAAGCATGCATTCAGTTTGTCAAGTTAACATACAGTGTTCTATCTTCAAAATATATTTCACTGCATAAAACGAAGCAATATTTCAAAAAAAATTTCACTTGGTATCAGAATTAAAAAAGGCCTCCTTCATAATCTGGCTTCGGTTTCTTTTCTTTCTTTTTCTTTTGATTTGCTTCGGCAGTTGTTGTTGCGCACGCATTTTCAATGCTACTTTGGTTGATAACCTTCTTCTTTTTGATGCCACCCGGACAACAACACCAGACATTATCGTCGGAACTGTCTTCGTCTCCACAATAAACACCACCATCATCGCAGCGACTCATTTCTTCAAAAAGAAATAAGTATTCATACATTAAAATATGAAAAAGAATATTGAATAGTTATACTGAGAGAGCGAACTGGGAGTTTTTAAATGACTAATGGTCTTTTGCACTAAAAAATTGGCAAGTTTTGCATGATTGCAAGTAAAAATACGATTATAGATGACTTAAACTTGACCATTTAGAATCTTTGGTTCAGCAACAATCCTTTATCAAGAAAGAAGCGGTAGGCAGCACAAGTCTTGGAAAATCGTAACTTCTGGAATATGTGTTTCCATATGCATATGCTGCTTGAATGTTGCTGCACATAAGCACTTTTATGATATTTGAAAATGAAAAAAGGTCTTTTATCTTATAGTATATTAAAGCAGTAGTGGAGCTAATCACTTGAATATATTTGATTTTGTAAGAAAAAAGAAATAGAGTTGCCTAAACACGGCGTGTACACCAACATGAAAGCATTTTATTTTTTATAACTCCATTTACATCAACAGCAATGAATAAAAGAACAGAGCTTCAATGTCACCTGCGTTGCACATATATAATCTTTCTAAGGGCAATAACAAAAAAAAAAACTTTTTTTTTATAAATATCTTAGTTAAGGTTAGTGAAATGAAGGCTAAAGTGCAAATGCAACGCAATATCCGATATAATTATTATTTCCAAGGGCATAACTCTTGTACAATATTTGATCAGCACTGATTTTCGAAATTGGTGATATAAACCTTGATATGAATTTGATAAAAATCTGGCAAAATTGTACACTTGAGAGGGCTATAATTCATATTTTCAAGGGAGACAACTCTTTTAAGAATTGTCGATCTACATTGATTTTCTAATTTGTCCGAGACATTTCTGATATAAACCTATGATATAGGGTTTCATAAAAATCTGGTAAGAATTGTACACATTAGAGCGCTAACATTGCAATTTTACATATAACTGATATTTCAAAGGGGCATAACTCTTTAGAAATTGTTAATCAGCATTGATTTTCAATCTTGTCCGAGACATTTCTGATATAAATCTATGATATAGGATTTCATAAAAATCTGGTAAGAATTGTACACACGAGAGCGCTTATAATACAATTTTTCATCCAATTATAATTTCTAAAGATCATAACTCTTTTAAAAATTGTCGATCGGCTCTGATTTTCGATGTTGTCCGAGACATTGCTGATATAAACCTACGATATAAGTTTAATTAAAAATCTGGCAAGAATTGTACACATTAGAGCGCTAACAATGCAATTTTCCATATAACTGATATTTCCAAGGGACAAAACTTTTTTGAAAATTGTCGATGGGCCCTGATTTTCGCAGTTGTCCGAGACATTACTAATATTTACCTATGATATAAGTTTCATAAAAATCTGGCAAGAATTGTATACACGAGAGCGCCAACAATGCAATTTTCAATATAATTAATATTTCCAAGAGCATAACTCTTTGAAAATTGTTAATCGGTACTGATTTTCGAACCTGTCCGAGATTATGCTGATATAAACCTATGATATAAGTTTTATAAAAATTCTGACAAGAACTGTACTCGTGAGAGCGCTCACAAAACCGGGCGGACATACGCCCGCTATTTCTATGTCCACCGAAACTCGTTGCGCAGGGGACCAAAAAAAAACCCCAACTTTTAATAGGACTATAAACTCATTTCATACAGTCGATTTGTCAAAAAGTTAGAAGATACCAGGAACAATCGAATAAGTTAATTGAAAAATAATATATAATTAAGCTAATGATATGTTAATCCAATCCCTTCATAGAAGTATTTTCCTTATTGATATTAAGATTCCTATATTCTTTTTACTTCGATATCGAATATGAATGTTGGTTTGTGCACTGTTTCTAAAATGATCTGAAACTACTAGTATCTCGTAGTTTTACATGGGTTTTGGACAAATATAACTTCTCTTAATTTAAAATTCAGTTACAGCATTACTAGATCCGAAGTCGTAAATAAAACATGAATATAGGAAATATTACAATAGCCCAATGAGTAATAGCGATAAAGGTATTTAAGATGTTTTCCAAACATATCTTAACAAAAATGAAATTCCTATAAAAGTAATGCTATGTCATTAATATACGATACAATATAACAATTCAATTTGATAAAAGTGTCCCCATCTTTCTTTACATGCTTGTTTTCGTCAATCAACATTTTATGAAGCATACATAAACTGTGTGTTATAAACAGAACAATTCTTGTCATTATCACTATAAAAATCCGAGATCCGAGAGGAAATATGATGTAAGAAAAATGAAACTGCTGCCATAAAAACAGAAAAGAAAAGCAAATGTACATCCAATTACAAATTGTCTACATCACCTGATCTAAAATAATACATATTCGGGACTTGTCAAAAGTTTAAGACCAAAAGAAAAATGCTTAAAATTTACAAGACCCTTTAGAAGTTAAAAAAAAGACAAACAACAACAAAACAAGAGAAATAAAAAAGTGCTTGTCCAAAAAGTCATCGTTCCGACAAAGAGTTGTAACAATATCACTTGAATTTATTTCACATAATTTTCAAAAACGTAATCCAATCTAAAACCTAACAGTATCCCAGATTAATGTGAATTATTTAAGATAACTCCCGGTTTCTGGTGGGGTTCGGGTTGCTCAGTCTTTAGTTTTCTATGTTGTGTTTTGTAAATTTTAGAAATATGTAGAAAATAGTTTTGTAAATAGGTATATATCTAACATGAAACTTTTAGGAATTTTGTAATTGATATGGGGGCGCTACTTCAAACACATGTTTTAATATGCTGCCTCTTTTTGAAATAGCTGATGAAGGAAGAACATACAGAAATTTGGTGACACTCAATTTCATAAAATATTTTAATCCCCTTCTTCCACCTAGAATAGAGTTTATATCATTCTTAGATTTAAATGTGATGAAAATAGGCGGTATCTGCTCCCAAAAGTTGAGATGTTACACTATTATTAACAAATTTATAGTCAAAGAGAGATAACTCGAAATTAATTGACTTTTAAAAAATGTCCATTTGAATAATTGATGACATTTGTCTTTTTCACTTATTACATAATATGCCTATGGGTTCAGATTGTACTAAAAGTATTGTATATTTAAATTCACAATTGGTACATATAATTGTCGTGAATGCAAATTTTATACATGTATCTTTCGATATGATTGATCTTGAAACATAAACTGTCACATTTGTGGCCTGCATCATCATAACTAGTGTTAGTTTTTATTTGCCTTCAGCGGACCATAAATTAATATTAGAATTTTTTAAAACCGAAAATTTGAATATTGAAAATACACAACTTTGATGGTTAATATAGACAAAGAGTGACAAAAAGCTATAAATTTATAGTTTTGAATATAACAAGACACAACTCAAGAGTATAATTATGTCGTTTTCACAAATAAACTATAAAAACTTATTAAATGTTAATTTGAGTTTGCGGCAAATTGGGATCCGAAATTAGAGCTGCGAATAGTTGAGCGGGACTCTTTAAGAATGAAAATAAGAATGAAAAAGACAAATCCAAATAATTAAATAAAAATGAAAATGAATGAATGAACAAAATGAATAGTATTTTGTACATGTATAATAAATTAAAACAAATTGAATGTCTGCGGTGTAAGGAACAGTATACTATTAACATACCTGTGCTGTTTTAGAACGGTCTTGTTGAGGGGTGAATGGATTTTAAGAGTTGATTGATTATGTTATTGCAGTGGTACTGAAAAACGCAATTAGAAATTTCAATCATAATTCTGACATATAAAATTATCTCGATTTATGTTATGATGATCTTTTTCAATGCATTAACTATTTATAACATCACATATTTCCACAAATAATACAGCTATGGGGAATAAAATATATGTGCAATCGGAAAATATTCGTATGCTATGTATTGTTCTGAACTGCAGAGCATCTTTAGGTACCAACAACAATCAAACTTTCTTGAAATGACTTTTGAATATGCATAGGTTATTGAAACAGTATCAGACGTTCTTTTTCTTCTAACATTGAGTTTAAGAATAAACAAGCAAATGGGTTCTATAATTAGGAAATTGATAGAGAAATAGTTATACCTCTTTTAAAATCGCCCAATAATCTCCGTCTGATCAGTTGACTATTTTGATTACTTCACAACAGATGCAATACAAATTTGATAGGTATTTTGGAAACTGAAAAAAAAATATATATGCCATATAAACTATACAACAGCCTATTTAGAATTCTAGAACTAATAACTGGTGTGCAACTAATCGCGCGGAGATGAAAGCAATTGGTATTGTTATGATGACAATTAAGGGCATACGATACAGTTTTGATCCCGTAATGAAATTTTGATGAACATTTGCATATAGGCTATTTTTTACCTGATTAAATCAAATATGCAATAAAAAATATACCATCATGTGCTACTTTTTGAGTAAATTGAAGTTGAAATTTCAGATATTTCCTCAAAATTCGGATTTGTGGACGTATTTTTCCTTTCGACAGAAATACATAACTTTTTTGTTTTAAAAGATAAACACAAGCTGTTTTTTGTTAAATTATTTGTAATTTCTGTTTTATATAAATGTTCTATAAATTTGTACATTTTATTTTTACAAATAACTCATATTTATCAAATGTTCATGAATGTAGAAAAAAAACGTAATTTTTTGCTGTATATTTATCAAATTTAAAATAATTGCACTATTGACTTTTTCATGAAAATTGGTACACATAATCTTCATACGTAATCAAACCAAATGTCATTTTAAAAAAGAGGGGTCCATGAACTCGTTTTCAAGTTAAATAAGTTTGAATGATAAAAATCAGCCGAAAACTGCATCTTTTCCCGATAAGTCACAGTTTGACGTCGCGAAAATAACAATTTACGTTAGCAACGTCATTACTTCCCCTGTAACTGTATCGTATGCCCTTAAGCTGGTAAAAAACACCATCGAATTCTACTGGAATAATTTAGGTGACAATTACCTTCTTCATTCACCATAACTGTCACAACTTTTCAGCAGGAACAGAGCTCAAAATATATACTGTAAATTCAGAAATTATTGCGATGTTTTTATTATTGCGAAAAATGCGAATGGGTTATAATCGCAATAATTTAAACTCGCATTTTGAAATTTTTTATATGAATTAAACAGAATTTTCTCAATATCGCAAAAATTAAAATCGCATTTTAGTCTAAAATGACAAAATCGCAATAATAAATGCACGCAATAATTTCTGAATTTACAGTAACACTTTTAACATTGCAGTGTAAACACCACTGCTCTTCCAAGGTTTCTATGCAGGTTATGGTCAAGGATTCAAAATAAGGCCAATCTTTAATATTTCGAATGATACGTTACAAAATACAATCTAGGACGGAATTAAACAGTTAATAAGTCTATGGCTGGATTCCAGTTACGAAACAAGGTAATGAAGAACATGCCTGAGAAGAAAACACATCGTTGGGGTACACAACTGTTTGCTTTAGCTGAGTTTGACGCTGTTTATACCAGTCAAGTGATGTTATATAAAGGTACGTTTTACACTTGATGTTAGCCTCTTTTAAGTTATTACATGGCATTTTTCATATCAGATGTATTATCAGCCCAAGGTTCAAGATCAGCCAAAGAGCAGTTTAATATATTGATCCTTTTACGTGGTTCTTAAGTAGAAGTTCAAAAAGTGAAATGTTTACGGACGACGGACGCCAAATGTAATACATCCAATATGAAATCTTTCTATCAAATGCCTCAACAGAGAGAAAAAAAAAACAGTATAATATATTTTTATATTGACGATAAAAAAAATCAACAAAATATAATGAACACTGTTTGGAAAAGTCAACATTTGTAAAGTAACTTACTAAATTATGCTGGAAACTTTGAACTGAAAATGCATTTATTGTATCATTTGTTTTGCATTTTACATAATATATTTTCGTGTTTCCTAATATTTTTTTTGTACCCTACTTTGTTATGTTTTTCACTGAAAACGTACCATTGAGATGTATTTTGCGGAATTTGCCGAGTAACTTCAGAATGCCATGCGGTAACGTAACGGAAAGGCTTGCGATAATAGCCGGAAGCAGTTGATATTTTTTTTTTATATCAGCCCGCTAAGCACCATTTCGGAAAATATGGAATTCACGTAAATTTAATGCTATTATCGTACTTTAAAAATTATAAGTTATTTACCCTAAGTATATGATAACAGCATTTAATTTACGTGAATTCCATATTTTCCGAAATGGTGCTTAGCGGGCTGATATGAAAAATTTATCAACTGCTTCAGTGTAGTATATTATAGTCTTGTCTGCTATCTTCTCCTCCTTTATGGTATAAATCCATTAATTCATAGCCCAATATGTTCTTTCTGACCGGGCCCGAATCAGTGGTTCTATACCTTATAGGAGAACCGTCACTCAAACTTTAGCTATATTACAACTTTGTACTACATGTATGAATCTATAGTAGTCAAATTAAAAATCTGGAGCACACTGAAAGGGTCACCAAGACGAAAACTGGTACTAATGCCAGGGAAACACGGGCTTTCCAGGCAAAGATGTTTGGGGATCCAGGTACATACATACTTTGTATATTATATAATGGCAATATTCATATTTTGGTTGTATAAAAAAAAGCATTCATAAAAAATGTACTATGAGTACCAAATATCAATCTTTACACTGTTTGATGTCCCAGATACGCAAAGGTAACATCTGCATGTAATAATACTTATTGTCACTTGAAAATCCCTGTATCAAATCGAACAAATGACCTTTGTTTATCAATTGTTACTCGTTTTTTGTATTGGTGGATTTTTACTTTGGACATGTTGTATGCATACAAATTATACATTTCAATGCAATACATACAGTTCGTGCAGTATGATCATGCTTTCTTTATCAATGTCAGAATTAAAGAATTCATGTATTTTATTTTTCAGGAAATGCCAGGTGTCCAGTGGAATTTTATAAACAGTATATTAAACACAGACCTGAAGATATGTTTGAAGACGAGAATCATTTTTATTTGGGCATTAATAGGAATATAAAAGATGATATTTGGTATTCGCGGACCAATGGGAAAGAACACTTTATACAACTTTGTTAAAGACATGTGTGACAAAGCAGGAATACAGGGCAGTAAAACTAATCACAGTGCGCGTAAAACGACTGTGAGTGCTTTAGTACACCAAATCATCCCTGCATGATACACGTATAATACAGCTAAGTAGTCACAAAAATGTTCAGTCTATCAATTCTCATAGTGTTGTTTCACTCGAACAACAACGTGAAATGTCCATCACTTTGTCAACAGTTGGAACCGGTATGACTGCTGAAAACAAAAAAACGTAATTCTAGCGAACATGGTGATAATAACATGAATGAAATTGTTGAAATGCCGGATGATGACGATGCTGTATTGTTGTCCGCATCTCAGGAAGCAGAGTTGAATGTGGTCTTAAAAGACATAAAAAACTTAGAGAAAACGGTAACCGTTATTACTGATAAGCCAAATTTTGCTCAAAAGTAAAATGAAATGCCGGAGATAATTCATGACAACTATAAAGGGAAGGCAGTACAGATGTATGCGGGGGAGACTATCACAGGAAATGTTACTATCAACTTTCCAGCATAAAAACTGGTTACTCATATATTGAAAATTTTGATAATGAAATTTGTTGTTATAAATTTGTTTCATGTTAAACGTGATTAAATTAAATTCAAAATTTTCTCCAACACATGAAAAACAAAATATAGAAAACCCTAGTTGGTCCCTCGAATGGTCTAATTTTTTAAAAATTTTTTGATGATTTAATCTGAAAAGCTGCATGTACGTACTAAATCATGCATTACCATAAGTTCATAACTTGATATAAGAAGATGTGGTATGAGTGCCAATGAGACAACTCTCCATCCAAGTCAAAATTTATAAAAGTAAACCATTATAGGTCAAAGTACGGTCTTCAACACGGAGCCTTGGCTCACACCAAACAGCAAGCTATAAAGGGCCCCAAAAATTACTAGTGTAAAACCATTCAAACGTGTATGTAAGTGCTAAAATGTTCAACTTTTAAAAGTATGTATTAATGTTGGACATTATAGTTTGCTAACAAAAGAAGTTTATTGAATGATAATTTAAAGGTTTACTTCTTTCACTTGAAAGTGCCTGCTGTTTCAAGTTCCGGTCATTCGTCTTGTATTCCAAGGATGATGCGTCAAAACCAATAGACGTCGAAAAATCATACAATATTCTTCGAAAAACAACACAGAAAACGTAAAACGAAGCAACACGACCGACACCAAAAACCAGGTGCACTGGAAGGGTAACTGAACTGTATCTGTGGTATCCTGTATTTCAGGAATACCAAGTGTGTGTTGAACAAACACGTCCTCCGAACGTTAGAAAAATGTTATCAATCAAGAAATCAAGCTTCTTGACAAGATATGCGCTTCTACGTTGGGATTTCTTTTATATCACACAAACTTGGACCAAATATTTCAATTTGTCTTTAAGTTTGGAATGGGGATACTTGTGTAAAGGGTAGACAGTCAAATTTTTACATAATACTGAGAGATGGAAGACTCTTATATATGTTCTCTAACAGATCTTTGAAAGTTTTCGTAATAATCGACTCCAGAATATTTGAATAACATATACAAGCTGCAACGTATAAAATGAAAACATAATGTAAGATAAGGTTTAAATCTGATCTTTTCCCCGATTTTCAGACAAACGAAATGAAAGATCATTTAATTAGCTGCAGCAAGAGGTTAATGACACGAACTTCAGATTAAGATAATTGGGCAGTTTGTGCTTGTTTTGCAATAAATGTTATATTGAAACCTTTACCCAGTAGTAAGGCGACAGTAGTTTATCGATGTTCATATCTTGGAAATTGATAAGAAATAGACATTTCAAGGTAACACACACAAAACTGAGTGTATCGCATGAACTCCAAAAGAAGCGAGACCGGTTGAGTCGACAGGGTAAGCCAAAATGTCATTATTGTGAGTGAATGGTGTTAAATCAATGCATATGGTTATATAGCGATTAATATAAATTTGCTTATAAGAAACAGTTGATTTAAATTATTTTCTTTGAACGCAAGAATTGACTAGGTTATAGAAATATGGTCACCTGGACTTACCCTCTCTAGCAGTAAATTAACGTAACAGTAGTTCACCTATGTTCAGATCTCATCAAACAAAAACAGAGAATTGCATTAACTTTTACCTATGTTCAGATCTCATAAAACAAAAACAGAGAATTGCATTAACTCCAAAAGGAGAGAGAGTCCGATAGCGTCGACGTGTAGATTTATAACATAATACCCCAAAAAATATGTTAAAAATGTGCGATGAAGACAATAATTAACATTGGATAAATACTGTAACCTCATTTTTTAACCATAATGGTCTTGCAACATCGTATTAGTGGAGTCGTATATTTATGCAAATTTTGCGAGGTACACTTAATCATGTAATTTATTAGTATTTTGTTCCCATTCGATCTATTGCCTTCTTGTTTAGTTTTTTTTCAGAGAGATTATACTTAAGCTATCAATACAATTTGTGTAAATTTCGAGATTTTAAAAAAGGAGAAATGGTAAATATTTTTTCATCAGTTTAACTAATTTCATAATACTTTTATTTGCATTTCAAATAAACAGTCATTTTGTTATTTATTTCAATACGTACGTACAACGGACCTGTATCAATTTTATTAGAAAAGGAAGGATACGATCATGCACCGTTGTCGGTATCCTTTTTATTTTTCCTTAATTGTAGGTTGGTTTACGTCCAGTGTCATATATTTCATGCATGTTCAGGTCGAGAACAAATTAACAATACATACAATACGTAGGTCCTATAATAGAGGCCTTCCGGGATGCAGGTCGGGGAAATTTTGACTGCCGCTTGAAAATGAGTGTATATTGGATAAGGACAGAAATTTTGCCTTGCAACAGAACACCTACGGACTCCTCAAAGATAATCCTATCTATTATTAGACATGCCAAGCTGTCTTTATGTATGAGGATCAAAGGTAGACAAACTTCTTCGTATGGGATCCGTTACTTAGATGTTATAATATTCAAGATTTCAATCTCAAAACGAAATAAATGTTCTTATTGTCCTTTACTTAAGGTGGCTGGGGCGTCTTAATTAAAATTGACAGAAGTTTTTAATTATTTGTTAAAATGAAGTTTTTATCATGCTTTTTTCAAAAATATAATAAAAAGTATGGGTCACCGGACTTTTTTTCACGCTACAGGTTGTGCAAAATTGTCAGATTTTGTATAGATTGTGCATGGAAAATCAAATTTTGTGTGATAAAATGAAAACTACCCGATAGAATTTTAAGATATAATGTGAGAAGATAGCTCTTATAACATGCTTTCAGATAAGAAAAAGAAAAAATGGGGTCACGGAACTTGTTTTCTTGCTACAGATTAAAATAGGTAAATTCACAACACTTTCTATTATAAAAATTACTTTATCTGAGTTATCTCCCCTTATTTGGCAAAGTTGAAAAAAAATGAATCAAACACAAATAAGGTTTTTGAGAAATTACAGCCGTAATTATGATAAAACACACAATTTTTAATATTTACATCAAAAGTCTGACACATAAATTACATACTACTCACAAAATTTGCGCATTTCATCAAAGATCTAGACCAACGTTATCTGCTTCTTTAAAAATCCAAGATGGAGGAAGACACCCGAGCCACCTTAGTAGTTGTGGTATGCTGGCCAACCATAAAACTAAGGAAACAACTATTTGATCCACGGGAGGGGCAGCGATTTTTTTTTAAAGTTTGCTTTTGAAAAATGAATAAATATGTCTGCACCAAGAATGAAAAAAATGTTTTAAATATCTTGACACCCCCCCCCCCCCCCCCCCCCCCGCCTCCCCCCCAAAAAAAAATAAATTATAGATGTGAATAGATTAAAGGTGTATAAAAAGGTATCACCTGACAGTGACTTTGCTAAAGAAATAAAAGTCGACAATAATCACTAGATTATGTATACTATAATTTACTATATGCACATTTCAACGATTATTGTCTCATCAGTATATTAAAGATTGATCCCAAACCAGTAGTGGGGCGTAGAAGGCGTAAGTTCCCCTCTTTTGATGAAAAAAAAAATTTCGCAAAAGAAAATATTAAAAAATGTCATTTAACTATTATAGACACTCCCCCTTGTTTTCCTCCAACCCTGGATCCACCCTTCAAATGGTTTGAAATCCAAAGAAGTCCCAAGATTTTGAGCAGAAATCAAACCAAATGTCATCAACAGTAAAGCCACAAAAGTCTTAGAGGGTGTAGTCATTTGATTAACTGTGTGGGTATGGAATAAAAAGAAGGTTGCTTATGAAAAATGATAAAATAATGTTGACACAGAGCGTGACATTCTCTCTACACGAGGTAATCTGTCCGGTCGTGGCTGCGTACTGTATACATCCCGCACAGCAAAACGGACGCCCCACTTTGGCAAGGGTTTACTACCGGTTAGCAGAAGACTTATTATAAGTGACTATATTTATATTCCCCAGTCATCCTAACACAGGGTCTCGTGGTTAAAGTTACTGCATACAGTAAAGTTTTCTGCGAATTAGAGTACGGGAAGACAATAGTTTAATAGCAGTTCATTTCTGAAGATTTTGTAGATAAAAGATTTTCTTATTTAAGAAGGTCCATGTTCACGCGTATTTCAGTAACACTTGGCTATTCAAGGAGATAAAACACACTTTTTTAATTTTTTAATTTGAAGTATCAGATGACTTTAGGATTTTGTTTTATATGATCAGCTTGGATATTAAGTTCATTTAAGAAAGTGCCTTTTTAAGTAAGGAATATTTTTTTCATTGATTTTTCACTTCCAATTTTTGTACTACCTTGAAATTAGTAGTAATTACGTTTGTTACTGAAAAGATTAAATTAAAAAATTGTAATCAAGTGGGTTTTTTCAATCTAGAAATCTCGTGTAGTGAATATAGATATGCACAAATTAAAGAAAAAATTATACTCTAAATTAACAGACCTTTTATAACAGTTTTACGGTCACCGTTACGAATTGGTTGACGTATACGATGTGGCTGTGTTTCAACTCTCAAGAAACGATTTTTCGAGGTCTGCAGATTCCAAAAATATAATCGATAAATGTACCGATTGTGTTTAATCCCTTTTGTGACATTTTGACCGATGTTTGATTTAAATGACTGGTTATACAGACATAGCAGAAGACACATACCTCCGATTGGATTGTTTTTACCTTGATTTGTTTATTCTTAACGAATTTACCAGATTTGTACAACTAAAATCTAGTGTTGCCTGTAACGTTATATTTAAGACATTTCTTTTTGGTCAAGCGAAAAACTGAAGATTCATTATTTAGTTATATGAAATGTTTAATCCCATTATACGCTGTAGTTTGTTCCTTTATTCATATGATGCTGAATCCATACAGGAACTTCTTTGGAAGAAAGAAAGGAAGTTAGCAGTATCCTTTAACTTTATGTTACGCTATATAGATGATGTTCTCTCACTAAATAATTCAAAATTTGGTGACTATGTTGAACGCATCTATCCCATCGAACTTGAGATAAAAGATACAACAGATACAGTTAAGTCTGCCTCATATCTTGACGTACATCGAGAAATTGACAACGAGGGTCGGTTGAAAACAAAACTTTACGACACAAGAGATGATTTTCAGCTTCCCAAATGTCAACTTTCCATTTCTATGTAGCAACATTCAAGCAGCACCTGCATACGGAGTATATGTCTCCAAGTTGATACGATATTCCAAGGTTTGCATTTCCTATCATAATTTCCTTGATAGAGGGTTGCTGCTCACAACGAAGCTATCAAACCAAGATTTCCAAGTGGTGAAGTTGAAATCATCCCTTCGTAAATTTTACGGACACCATCACGAGTTGGTTGACCGTTATGAAATATTTATGGAATATGAAAGTGCTTCGGACGCACCAAATTGTGTAATTGTCATTAACAGATATTTTATGTTTTTTTTCCCCTGTATTTTTTACAAACTAATTTGGTTAACATTAGAGTTAACATTTAAATTTATCTTCTGAAACAACTATGACCAATCGTTGATACGTAAACACATCTGTTGAATCAATGTATTTCTCTCCCTCTGAGAGCTCTTACATAGCCTTTTTTTACCTGCATGGTACATATAAATATGTTAAATCAAAAATTGAATTATCTCTGTCTTAAAGAATAATCGACTTACTGTGTCTGGATTTCGAACGTCCGTTGATTGAAATGAACATCAATTTAATGTCGAAAACAGATTGTCAATAAATTCTTTTCTCAAAGGAATTCGTGATTTGTGATCTCATGAATATTGCATTGGTTTGAACCTTTGTTAAAGTTTCTATCAGTGAAATTAGAAATACCACATATCAAACTTGTTCATTTGTTTTCTTCATATATTAATAAAGCAAATAAAATGTGATATGTTTGTTTTGCAATCGGACAAATAAATAACTAATAACAGTACCAACAGAATGCTTATGGAAGTGTACAAATACCCTGCATGTAGATACTAAAAATAATTTTAAGCAAACTACAAATAAAAATAAACTTCCTATCGTAATAGTCTACGCATATCCTACATGTAGTGGATAAAACAATGCAAGTAAACTATAATGACCAATAACTTTCTTAACTATATAATAAACAATAAGGAGATTAAGTATGATTGCAAATGAAACAACAATCCACCAGAGTCCAAAAGACGTGGATGTAAGCAACTATAGATCACCGTATAGTCAGCTATAAAAGGCTCGATATGACAAAACGTGAAACAATTTAAATGAAAAACTAACGGCCTAAAACTATGGAAAGCCACAGTGAACCCCCCGATTATTATTATTTTTCCTTCAAAAATACATGGATACAAATAAATCTTCGGCTTTCAGAATCCCGCCGATTATTATCAATTCTAAAATCTTCGGCTTTTCAAAATCTTCGGCTTTTCAAAATCTTCGGCTTTCAAAATCTTCGGTTTTTTAAAATCTTCGGCTTTTCAAAATCTTCGGCTTTCAAAATCTTCGGCTTCTCAAAATCTTCGGCTTTTCAAAATCTTCGGCTTTCAAAATCTTCGGCTTTTCAAAATCTTCGGCTTTTCAAAATCTTCGGCTTTTCAAAATCTTCGGCCTTTCAAAATCTTCGGCTTTTCAAAATCTTCGGCTTTTCAAAATCTTCGGCCTTTCAAAATCTTCGGCTTTCAAAATTTTCGGCTTTTCAAAATCTTCGGCTTTTTCAAATCTTCGGCTTTTCAAAATTCACCGCCGATTATTATATCATAAAATCTTCGGCTTTTGATCAAATGGCCGCCGATTATTATGAATTGTTAAATCTTCGGCTTTTAATCAGCCCGCAGATTATTTTCAATAATAACATCTTCGGCTTTGAATCAAGAGCCCGCAGATTTTTTCAATAATGAAATCTTCGGCTTTTAATCAAGATCCCGTAGATTATTTTCAATAATAAAGTCACCGCGCTGAAGTACGTCCGTTATTCATTTTTCATTATTCAAAATTCAATAATGAATAATGAAATAGTTCATTATTCACTATTCAGTCTTTGGCTTTTAATCAAGAGCCCACCGATTATTATCAATAATCAAATCTTCGGTTTTTATAAACCAAACCAAAAATAATCTCCGGGACTCGAATATTATGATTGTTATAATCTGCGTGAAAATAAAAATGCAAAGACTTACATCAAATGAAGACGCGGAACAGAGAAATACATTTAAAACTCTCTATATTTGCATATTCTGGTTCATTACACCAAGAAAGGTTGAGATAGGTAGGTGTTATTGTTGAAAAGACAACTGAAAACCTTAAACACGCAAGCACATGCAGACTATAAAGTACGTGTGTATGTATATATTTAAGTGTATGCGTAAGCGTCTGGATAATTTTTAAGCCCCCGGACGAACAGACGGACGGACAGGGGGTAAATTAATACCCCCCCTTTTTTGTCACCCGGGGGGGGGGGGGGGCCGTAAAAGATTTCCAGACGATTACGCACACACTTAAATATATACATACACACGTACTTTATAGTCTGCATGTGCTTGCGTGTTTAAGGTTTTCAGTTGTCTTTTCAACAATAACACCTATCCATCTATCTCAACCTTTCTTGGTGTAATGAACCAGAATATGCAAATCTAGAGTGTTTCGAATGTATTTCTCGGTTCCGCGTCTGCATTTGATGTAAGTCTTTGCATTTTTATATTTCCCCGCAGATTATACAATCATAATATTCGGGTCCCGGGGATTATTTTTGGTTTGGTTTATAAAAGCCGAAGATTTTACAATTGATAATAATCGGCGGGGGTCAGACTTTTAAAAGCCGAAGATTTTATAATATAATAATCGGCGGTGAATTTTGAAAAGCCGAAGATTTTGGAAAGCCGAAGATTTTGAAAAGCCGAAGATTTTGAAAAGCAGAAGATTTTCAGACTTTTAAAAGCCGAAGATTTTCAGACTTTTAAAAGCCGAAGATTTTATAATATAATAATCGGCGGTGAATTTTGAAAAGCCGAAGATTTTGAAAAGCCGAAGATTATGAAAAGCCGAAAATTTTGAAAGCCGAAGATTTTGGAAAGCCGAAGATTTTGAAAAGCCGAAGATTTTGAAAAGCCGAAGATTTTCAGACTTTTAAAAGCCGAAGATTTTAAGACTTTTAAAAGCCGAAGATTTTATAATATAATAATCGGCGGTGAATTTTGAAAAGCCGAAGATTTTGAAAAGCCGAAGATTATGAAAAGCCGAAAATTTTGAAAGCCGAAGATTTTGGAAAGCCGAAGATTTTGAAAAGCCGAAGATTTTGAAAAGCCGAAGATTTTCAGACTTTTAAAAGCCGAAGATTTTATAATATAATAATCGGCGGTGAATTTTGAAAAGCCGAAGATTTTGAAAAGCCGAAGATTTTAGAATTGATAATCGGCGGGATTCTGAAAGCCGAAGATTTATTTGTATCCATGTATTTTTAAAGGAAAAATAATAATAATCGGGGGGTTCACTGTGGCTTTCCATATAAAACAAATCAATTAACGAATAATAAATATGACGGACATTTTCAATCTGCAAATTCCGGTGGGATGTTGTGAATCAAAGGAATCGAAATGATTCAACCATTTACTAAATAAACCGTTTAGAACATAGGTTTTAAGATGAAATCCCAAACTGCCATTTTATCCGTTGTATAATCTAAAAACAAAGTAAAATACAGCTAGTTTATAAATTTCAAAAGGTAAATTTAAAAACAAAATGACCCAGGATAGATAAAAAAAAATATAGGAAACAACTATGAGATTGAAATAAACCAAATAACAGGCAGTTATGGCAAAAATAATGAAAATATGGGATCTTAAAGAAAGAATATATAATTAGTTCAATATGTATTTTAAACTAATTTAAAGAGACAGTTGTGTCAGTGGTTGTCTAATATGACCTAATATTATGGCCAGGCACAAGGTTTGGTGGTAGGCTTTGTAATATTTCTATTACGTTGTGGTTCAATTCTTTGGTTGTTTTCCTTGCCATATCTAAAATTTAAAAATATTGAATTGGTTTTATAAATTTTAAATTTAAGATGCGTTTAACTTATTATTTTGTTGTCTGACAGAGTAGCTGAACTGACACATGGATTTCACTCGAGTCATTCGCGTCACTCCTTTAAACTATTTGACAGAATTCAACTGATTGTGTACAGCTCCTCCGACAGGACATGGACTTGTCCACCTGATACCTGCCAGTTGTTCTAAGCGGTTTATATTTTCTTCGGAAATCGCCTGTACCAAGTCAGGAATATGGCAGTTGTTTTTCACTTGTCACTTGATTGATAACATTTGATTTTGTCAGTTTTAAAGATCGTTAACTTTTGAGCTTGTGCATTACCAGGTTCCTGTTCTGTTGACGCACGTGCCATGTTGTATGTCATACGATTTCCCGTAACTCACCTCAGATCAATCGGGTAGGTCTTTGTATCTGAATCACAAATATAAGTAGTAAGCCGACTTTGTACATTGTACATTCGTTGTTTTTATGTATAAATTATTATGTTTTTTTTGTGTTTTTTTTAATATTAAACTATACTTTAAAACGAAAAAAAAAAAAAACGCTACCTGAAGATAACGTTTCTTTGTTTACATTGAAAATGAAGTCATATATAAAATTCTTAACAATAGGGTAAAAAATTGGATACGTTTCCGTAATTCAGTTACTATCTCACAAAAAATAGTGCCGGTTTTTTTTACAATAAAGTTTATATATATAAATCTGCTGTTAACGGGATATCGTAAAGTATTCTGAAGGTTTGCTGACTTCGTCCCCTTTCACGGGTACCCCCTGTCTCACATTTTAATTAAGAAATAAATATATTTTTGAAATAAAATACTTACTTCTTAATACAGAACAAAAAGAAACAGGTCAGCATCATTAGAGCTAGAACTGCTGCCGACACAAAGCAATAGCCCAGATTTTCACTACAAAAAGAGAAACTCATATTTCTTTTGATAAAACAAGGGAGGAGGTATCATAAGAGCAATTATTTGGCCCATGAAATTGCAAAAATAGTAAAATTATTCAAGCTTTTCAAAATTAGGTTAATAATGTTGATAATTTAACCGGTTAATACAATATTGACAGAACGATGCCATTTGATTTACAATGCCGTCCTTAGCATGTCGAAACTTACACATTTAACCTAAAACGGCCATTTTACACGTACTGTTTGGTCAAAATAGATATGAGCCAAGTTCTAACTCAAAATGATAGTTTACACACATTTGCGTCCTTGTAAAACATATCGTGTAGGAAAATATATGTTTGTGTAAAACCTTGGCTCATATCTAAATATTAATAATAAGATTGCAAAATGAAACTATTTTGGCATTTTTTGTAGTTTTGCACAAAATGCAAGAAGTTTGAAACCCTAATTAAATGCAAATATGTAGGACAAAGTTCAAATATTGAAGATTGATAGTCTAGTGTCTTATGAACATATGATGTGTGTTATTCAGCAGATTAATAATCATTTCGTAGGTGGTTTGAATTAGCCATATTAGGTGAGATAATTCCGATAGTTTAAATTTTTAAAGAAATGTAAAGTTGTTTTTTATATTTTATCAAGAAAAAATTACAGTGACCGATTTTGTTAGAGCAATCTTTTCATATTTCAATTTAAAAATTCTGTCCTTTTATTTACATGATAATGCTTTCCTCCTGTAATATGCTCGCAAAATGTGTTAAT